AGAAATCTTAAAAAAATAAACAAGCTATTTAAATGGAAACTTTCTTGGAAGGAAGGCATCTAATAAGTCAAATAATCCAACTGGCTCTTCTGCCATTTGAATCTTATCTATGTTATGTGTATTGATCTAAGTTCTATTCTATTTTTTCTATTTAAAGAAAAATCTAATCTTTTTACCCACGACATGCCTTCATACTTAAAAAATATATTTATTTATTATTTTAGAGGCAGAGAGACAGAGTAAGAGATAGAGACTGGGTGAGTGTCTATCCACTGGCTCACTCCTCAGATGCCTCCAATAGCTGGAATTGAGCCAGGCTGAAGCCTGGAGCTGAGAACTCAATGCAGATCTTCTACAAAGGTGAAAGAAACCCAACCCTTCAGGGTCCACATTAGTAGGAAGATGGAATGGAGAGTCAGCCAGGTCTTAGGTTCTCTGATATGGGATGCAGATATCCTAAGTGTTAGGCCAAATGCCCAACTCCCTTGATACTTAAAAATAATTTCTATAATTTATTTGTTTTCATTTTACTTTAGAGGGGGAGAGAGAGAAAGAGATACTTTTTATCTGCTGATTCACTCTTCAAATGCATGCAACAGCCAGGGCTGGGCCACGCCAAAGCCAGGAGGCCAGAATTCAATTCAGGGACCCAAGTATTTGAGCTATTACCTGCTGCCTGTCAGGGTCTATCTTAGCAGGAAGCTGGAATCAGAAGCTGAGCTGGGATTTGAACCTAGGCACTCTGATATGGGATGCCATCCCAAGTGGCATCTTTTTTTTTTAAGGTCTAATTATTTATTTGAAAGGCAGAGCTACAGAGAGGCAGAAGTAGAGAGAGAAGTCTTCCATCCTCTGGTTCACTCCTCAGATGGCTGCAACAGCCTGAGCTGCAGCTATTCAAAGTCAGGGCCTTCCACACGGGTGCAAGGGTCCAATTACTTGGGCCATCTTCTACTGCTTTCCCAGGCCATAGCAGAGAGCTAGATCAGAAATGGAGCAGCCAGGACTTGAACCTGCGCCCATATGGGATGCTGGCATTTCAGGTGGCGGCTTTAGCCGCTACATCACAGCACTGGCCCCCCAAGTGGCATCTTAACTGCTGTGTCAAGTGTCTCTCATCTGCCTCCACCACCTCCCCCCAACACATGCTTTTAAAGACAGCTATGGTGTGTCCTGCTGTCATCTGTTTTAAAAATCAGAGAATCTCAATTGTTTGAAATATTCCTCAAAAGTTTTGGCCTTTTCATTACTCCATCACTCTTCTGAATCATTCAATTATCAAATATTTATTGTGGATTAACTATATGACAGGCGTGCCTAGAGCTAGAATGCAGAAATAAATGAGACAATCCTTCCCATCAGACGGGTTTGGAGCTGGTGCATAACGAAAAATAAAAAACACATATGCTCTGATAAATGCTATAATATAGATCTGCATCAAATATTATGAGATAATCATTTGTCATTTTTTGTTCCAAAATAAGTAAAATGTTTCAGATAGGATTTGACTGGTACAGAATAGAGAGGATCATGCCTATTTTAGTATTGTAAAATACTGACCTATAACTGAATGCTCCTTTTCATATTTGATATCATTTATTTATGACCTTAATCTCTTCTTCTTTATTAGATTTTCTTTATTAGATTTGTCAGAACTGTCTATTTTATTGATTCTTATTTTTTTAAAAGATTAATATCTCTATTCTTATCAATTCCTTCTTATCAATTCCTTTACTTTAAAACAAGATTTTTCTTTTAAGACACCATTGGGATGAACCAACAAATGAAAGATCTCTTTCTCTATGTCTCTCCCTCTGTGTCACTCTGCCTTTCAAATAAATGATTCTATTCTTTTTTAAAAAAAATTATTTTCCACTTTTCTAGCTTTTTGAGTTGATTAATTTTGAACCTTCTTGGTCTCTAGTGGAGTCTTTCAAGTCTGTCTATTTCCTCTAGGTACCATTTCCTCCACTCTCCGTAAGCTTTGGTGTGTGTTTCTTGTGGTTACTCACTTATAATGGATACGTTGGCTTTGACTAGCTCCAAAGTTCTGTGATTCTCCTGAGGTGCTGCCCTAGCATACCCTTCATCAGATCCCCGTGTTCTTGCTAAGAAGATGCTGGGGCAGCTGCTGCTTCTGTGGACTGCTCGCCCTGCATCACCCCAGTGACCTCTACAGCTGATCTGCAAGGAGCAACAACATCCTCCCTAATTAGTGTGGACAGTTCAGGAGCCAGGCAAATGCTTGTGCTCTTCTTAGCTACGTTGCCGACACGAGAAACTTCAGCTCTGCAGAAAGACCCTCGCCAGAACAACCAGTTAAAATGGGAATGTGATTTCGTCTAGATTTCATCACACAACGATGAGATGCTCATTAGGCAAGGAGGGAGGACTGAACCCGAGGCCACCTCTTCTGCCACCCAAGGTAGGAAAGTCCAGCATGCACGCAGGTGATCCCAGAAAGCTATTTCAGGTAGATGCTGGCTGGTGACACCTGAGAAAATGATGTAGCCGTTTGGCTACTCTTTCTCTTTCTTTTTTAATCAACCTTCTTCAGGATGCAGTGGTTTCAGGCTCTCCTCATCCACGTCTCTATGAAAATGTAAGAAATGACCCCAAACCCTGAGATATGAGTAACTGGTATTTGATATACTGCCTGATCCAACACTCATATTTTTTTAAAAGATTTATTTTAATTATTTGAAAGGCAGAGTTACAAAGAGAGGGAAAGAGAGAGAAAAAGAGAGAGTGTGTATGTTTTCCATCTGCTGATTCACTCCCCAAATGGCTGCAATGACCCAGGATGGGCCAGGCCAAAGTCAGGAGCCAGGAGCTTCTTCTGGCTCTCTCACACAGATGCAGGGGCCCAAGCACTCAGGCCATCTTCTGCTACCCTCCCAGGTGTATTAGTAGGGAGCTGGATTGGAAGTGGAGCAGCCACGACCCAAACTGGCACTCATATAGGATGTCAGCATCGCAGGTGACAGCTTTACCTGCTACACCACAACACTGGACCCCCAACACTCATTTTAAAGGAACCCAGTTTGTTTCATGCATCATGAGCAGGAGGAGGGCCTATTTGCTGGTGGTAGGAGATCCACACTCATAAGCCAAGGGGGCCTTGTCTATGATTTTAACTGACGAAAGGGGGCCAAGTATACCCATACAATGGTTGTCAACCAGGGGCAATTTGTTTCCCCTTGCACCTGGGGAACATTGACAGTTTCTGAAGATATTTTTGGTTGTCAAAAATTGGGTGGGATAGCTACTGGCCGGTGAGATACTAAATATCCTACAGTGTCTAAGACAGAACATACAACAAGGAATTAGCCTAAATGCACATAGCTCCCATGTTGAACAACCTTGAAGTAGAGTGATATTTGTCTAGTGAGAGCTGCTATCCCGCTCCCCACACTGGATAGCCAGCTAGAGACTAGCTTCACTGAATAAAGGAGTTCCTACTTGTCAGTAGTAACAGTAACTGTCGCATACTGCTGTGTATCCAGAATTTCTGACTTTTTGGAGAATTAAAAAAAAATCTAGATTTCTAAGTCACATCTCTAGATTTGATACAGTAATGAATGCTAATGAATAATGGTGAACAGATCGCAGAAAGCACAACCACAGCCCTGACATGGCTTGGTGCTAGGTGACTTGACAAGCTGCGGTCAGTTTGCCCTGGCCCATCCATGGAGGACATTGGTTGTAAAGCCAGAGTTGCAAGCTACCAGGGCAAGGTTGTGGCAGTCGGTCTTTCTGTCTGCAAAGACCAGTACTGCACTCTGAGGCACATGAGCCAAGGAAGAGTCTGTTTCAAGTTCCAACTGTGTGTGCAGTGTATGTGAGTGTGTGTGTGTGGGAGGGGGGTACTGATTGCCCTAAAATTGCTCTAGCATTATTTCACATAGCTTGTCAAAGCAATTTTCCCTTTCTTGTTGTGCAAATCTTTCTTGGCTTCATTACGCACCTTTTAGAACGGGAGGTTTCTCTTTCTTAAGTATCTACCTGCCAGGGTTGGTCATGGAAGAAATGAAGGGAGATAATATATGTAAAAGTTCATAGTGTGGATCTGTCTGGCACTGAAAGAAATGTTAGCTGACTCTGAACACAGAGACAACACTCCACTATGTGAATGGGACCAGAGGCTTTTTTTTTTTTTTTTTTTTGAGCTGGAGAGAATTAGTGACCGGCTTCTGGGATAATGAGCTGGTTCACCCGCTTGAATTTGGAGGGCAAACACATGTTCTTTGTATCTGGGAGGTATGCCTGAGATTGCCTTTGTCTCTCTCTGCTTTGGGGAAAAGCAAATTTGGCATGGCCTTTGAGTGTTTGCCTCCCCCACACTTTTTGTTTTTCTTAAGTGTGGAAGCTTTGTAAATGCGCCTTGTTAAAAACAAGCACCATCTTCATACCTGCCGAAACCCAATTCTCATCCCGAGGTGATGGGATGAACAAAGGGGGCGGTGATGCCGACTGCACAGACAGCCCATCCCACGCAGGTACACTGGCATGGCTGCAGCCGCGGCAAGGGTTTGCAAAGAACCCTTTTCATTGTGCGCTCACCTCCCCCAGCCCAGCCCCAGCCATAAGAGTGCTGTCAATGAGACAGGCCAATTTTACCCACCGCACACAATGCTGCATTACAGACTTTCCAAGAAGCCGCCATTCAGGGTGAATCACCAAATTCAGGATGAAAAGGTCTTGATTTGCAAAAGCGCTGGAGCATTTCTCTTTAGAGCTGGAGATGGCAGGGAAGGAACCGGCATGCAGGCAGCTGCTTCACCTTTGGGCCAGGTGTGCTGGCAAGCATTCCACATGGGTGCAGGGCTGAGGCACCCGGCATTCACAGGCACCTTTGTTACCCCATGGGTGCTGGGCCTGTGAATGCCTTATTCAAGGAGGAAGACAGTGAGAAGGTGCTGGTGGTAGAGTATTGAAATGAATGGAATTGGTGAAAACTTGAGTGGCTAGTTAGTAGTAAGTGAAGCTAATGTTAAAATTCTTAGGTGCCCAAATGGCTTTCATCCACATAGGTAAGAGGTGATGATAAAGTGTAAGTTGGAGGATTATATCATTTAGGATGACTTCAGCTACTAGCAACTGAAGTTTACCTCAAGTGATGAAAGCCAATTCCATTCATTTCAATACTCAAGTACAGGCAGCAGGCTCATAACCTGAAAGTCTGTCAGAATCGCCTCAGCTCTGGCCCCAGATGCAGAATCTTTATTCTAAGCAGACACACAGGTTACTTGTATGCACTTTATGGTTTACAAAAAGAACTGCTTTTAAAAGGACTAAGTTTTTTAAAGATTTATTTATTTATTTGAAAGGCAGAATTAGAGAGTGGGAGAGAGAGAGAATCTTCCATCTGCTGAATCACTCCCCAAATGGCCACAACGGCCTGAGCTGGGCCCATCCAAAGCCAGGAGCCAGGAGCTTCTTCCAGGTCTCCCACATGGGAGCAGGGGCCCAAACACTTGGGCCGTTTTCCACTGCTTTCTTAGGGGCAATAATAGGGAGCTGAATCTGAAGTGGAGCAGCTGGGATTTAACCAGTTGCCCATATGAGATGATAGCACCAGAGGTGGCAGCTTTACCTCCTACGCCACAGTGCCAGCCCAAAAGGACTATTTTTAATCTCTGAGAGTAAGTAGACCAGTTAACCAGCCACTCAGCATCTCAGGAATGAATAGAAGAGCCTTGGTGTTTTCAACTTTTGTGCTTTGTTCTGCTTAGTGTGTTCAGTTTTGTATATAGGCTTGTCATCCTGTGGTTGCATAATGGCTGCAGAAACTCTGAGCGACACTTCACACAGCTGAATAAAGGGTAGGAAAAAACAAGCTTCCTTCCACATAGGCCATTTTAGGAACAAAGAAATAATTTCCAGAAACTGCTTAGATTTCACCTAATGTAATATATCTTTTATGACTGGCTAGACTTGCAGTCATTTGCCCATTGCTAAGCCAATCACTGGCAAGTTTGAAAGTTGAAAAGAAATCAGCTTTTGAGGGTTTCCTCAATGACTGATCAAGGACTATTATCTTGGGACATACAGAGACTTGGACAATGCGTGCTATAGGAAATTCTTTTTCTTTATTAAGGATTTATTTATTTATTTTAAAGGCGAAGAGACAAAGGGAGAGAGACATAGAGGGAGGAGAGTGAGAGGAACAGAGAGAACCATCCAGTGGTTCCCTTCCCAAATGCTAACAACAGCTGGAGCTGGGACAGTTAAAAGGTGGGAGCCAGGAACTCCATCTGGGTCACCCATGTAGGTGGCAGAGGCCCAAGAACTCAGGTCATCATTTGCTGCCTCCCAGGCAGCACATTGGCAGGGAGCTGGATTAGAAGTGGAGATGGGACTCAATCCCAAGCACTGTGACATGGGATGCTGGTATTCCAAATGGTAGCCTTACCCACTGTGACACAGTGCCTGTGCCACTACAGGAAAATTTTTAATGATAGAAAAATGTAATTATGAAAGCTTAAAATAAGAGAGATAGAAAGGACTTTTTTGACCACTTCTATTCCTCTATTTTGTAAATGAGCAAAAAGTCCAAATGATTTATACATGAGTCAGCTAGGTCTGAATTGGAGTGTACTCTCCCTATATATGTTGCCATTTTGAAGGGAGGTGGTTTGCCCTTTGTATTTGAAATATGGATTTTGAAGATATAGATAATTCCGCCACTCTGGGAAATATGCATAATTATGTAGAACAAATCACACAGTCTATTTTAAGACTATCTAAGAGAAATAGGATTTACTTAAGCAAGTCATGATATTACAAATGCCTTTAAATTACGCAACCCTGAAAAGCAAGGTTGTGTGTGATACAGTCTGAAAGGTTCTTGGCAAGCTTTTTCTTCTTTTTAAAAAATATTTATTTATTTATTTGAGAAGTAGAGTTACAGAGAAGCAGAAGCAGAGAGAGAGAGAGAGAGAGAGAGAGAGAGAGAGGTCTTTATCTGTTGGTTCACTCCCCAAATGGCCACAATGGCCGGAGCTGGGCCAATCTGAAGCCAGGAGCCTGGAGTTTCTTCTGGGTCTCTCACATAGGTGCAGGAGTTCAAGTCCCTGGCCATCTTCTGCTGCTTTCCCAGACCATAGCAGAGAGCTGGATCAGAAGAGGGAGGAGAAGCCAAGACTCCCACCTGTGCCCATATGGGATGCCAGCACCGCAGGCGGCAGCTTTACCTGCTAAGCTTAAGTGCTGGCCCCGGCAAGTATTTTTAGAGAAATCAATTGCATGGATAAATGAATTAAGTATAAGTACTTCTTTCCAGAAAGAGAATTGTCATAACACTCTCCTTCACTGTTGAATGTTTTACTGTTGATGTTCTTATTTGTTCATTGCCATTATTGAATTATTCTAAATGAGTGGGACAGAACCAGTGGATTCATTTTTTATTTCACACTTGTATTTCTAAGGGACTGACAAGAAAGGTAAATACAATATTAGACTACATTAATAAACATGTCATGTTTAGGTCAACATAGACAGTCTTTGGGCTGATTCTGACTACTTTGGGAATGTCTTATTATTTTCCAGCTTCGTATTTTAAGAAGGGCATTGATTAAGTGTACAGTGATGACAATGACGATGAAAAATTAGGGCCAGACATTATACCAAGCACTTTAACATTTTTTTCACTAAATAATTTCAGAACTGCTATAAAGCAGATTTGTCAAAGATGCAAAAATAGAAACCCAGAGAAATTAATTAATTTCAAGTTCAGTTATTAACAGGTGGAGTTGGATTTGAATTCAGGACCATCTGACTCCTAAATCTGTGTTTGTATATCATTATGATAACTAATGTTTTCAAGCATTTATTATATATGAGGCATTGTTTGAAGTACATCATTTCTTTAACTCTAACAAAAAGACAATGTAGTGGAAAACATATCCCATTTTACAGGTAAGCAAACTGAAGCTTGCAGAGGTTGAGTCATTGACTTGTCAGGGCTCTCCATGTCAGTCAGTCCTGGACATGAATCCCCATTTGTCTGACCCAGGTCTTATCTCCATGCTTGTTGCTTATAGATAACGAGGCCAAAATGTTATATCCTGTGTTGCACAGGATAGCAGAATTAGGATTTACAAGAACTTAGATTTAGTCTGTGTCAATAATAGTCTTGTCTGCCTCAACTACAAGTGAGCTGGTAAGAGGTAACAAACATCACTGTCAAGGGGGTATATCGGGATTTACTGCATGCAGTTTGAGCTAGGATTAGATGATTTCTAAAGTATCTTTCAAGGATAAGTTCCTGGGGGCTGGTGCTTCTGGTGTAGTGTATTAAGCCGCTGTCTGTGGTGCTGGCATCCCATATGGGCACTGGTTCATGTCTCTGCTGCTCCACTTTTGATCAAGCTCCCTGCTAATACACTTGGGAAAGCAGTAGAAAATGGCCCAAGTCCTTGGGCCTCTGCACTTAGATGAGAGACCCAGATGAAACTCCTAGCTCCTGCCTTCAGTCTGGCTCAGCCCTGGCTGTTGCAGCCATTGGAGAGTGAACCAGTGGATGGAAGATATTTCTCTCTCTCACTCTTTCTCTCTTTTGCTCTCTCACTCTCTATCTCTCCTTCTCTCTCTGTAACTCTGACATTCAAAAAATATAAATAAATCTTAATAAAATAAGAATAGATTTCTATATATAGTCTTAGTTTTTTCTTGAGGCAATTTCAATTTTCAGTTCTGGGCCATTCCCTTGGTTGCAAGTACATATTCTGCAAAGAGAGAAGGGGCTAAGTAGAGAAAGGAGCCTTTCATCTTCATGTCCTTTGTTCTATCTTGTGCCTACCCACTAGTTCTTATACTTAGAACTCTTATACTTAGAACTCTTATACTTGGAATTTACTGTAGATGACATCATCTTTTCCATGTCTGGATAAATGGCTTTCTCACTTCTCAACTGCTTAAAATAATAAGATATTTCTACATCTTTCCAATTCATATTTAAAAATTAAAAACTGAACTTCCATTTAGATATATTTATCACTTCTCCTAAAACCAGCGCTTGATGATCTAAAAACCTATATCTAAAGGTTATGAGTAATAGTCGAAGTTTTCATCAGTGTAAAGCATGGAGATTACTTCACTGCAGGAAACAGTTGTCTAATTTCTGCAAATTAAATAGGAGTAGGGGCCAGTACTGTGGCCCCAGCAGGTTAAGTGAAACTTGCAGTGCTGGTGCTACATGTTAGAGTGCTGGTTCAATTCCCTCCTGTGCAAGTTCTAACCCAGCTCCTTGCTAATGCATCTGGGAAGGCAGTGGAAGATGGCCCAAGCAGGCCCCTGCCACCCATGTGGTAGACCAAGAAGGAGCTCCTGGTTCCTGACTTTGGCTTGGCCCACTCCTGCCTCTTGAGGCCATTTGATAGGTGAACCAGTTGATGAAAGATCTCTTTCTCTCTATCTCTTCCTCCATCTCTCTGTTGGACTGTCTTTCAAATAAGTAAATAGATCTTTATTAAAAAAAAAAAAAGATAGTATTCAATGGGAGCTTGGATCTGTTTTCAGAAACGCGTACATAATTAATATTTTCCCAGAGAAGCATTTGCAAATTGTTGCTGTGCAGTTGGGCTCCATTCTTGGGAGAAACAGAATGATGCATCAGTAACTTGAAACTTCCCTAAGAACTAATCCTGCCTTTGAAAGTGGACTGGGCTCAAAAGACAAGCTTCTTATTATCACACTGTGCACTTTCTCTTTTCTCACTCTCTCACCCTATTTCCTTTTCTTTCTCTGATACTCTCCTTCTCTTGTCTTTTCACTTAGGAAACCATTTTTTTTTAATGCATCTGTAGCTGTTTATTTGGCATGTATCTGATTTTATGGGTTTGTGGATATCTTGAAATTAAATTCATTTCAAATTGGCTTTTATTACTCATACTTTGGGCTGTTGCCTTTAGCAAAGTCAACACCACAATCAGGGTTACCTTAGTTTGTCTCTTTCAGGAATGTACTCATTCATTTGGGGTCCTATTAAACAGAGCAGCTTTCTAACTAAAAAAACCAAGTAAATAAATAGAATAAAACCACTGCTATATTCGAATGCCTGGATTTACTTCTCTTTCAAAATCAGCCACTGTTGATTTAAGGAATAGGATTTTAAGTGCACATAAAAAGATTATTGTTTATCAATAATATCTTGATATTTCTCCAGGGTGGAGAGACTTCTGTTTGTACTATTATGTTAAGTAAGTGGAGAAGCAGAGGTTGAATCATGATCTGCAGGTTTGAATTCTACTCTTAGCTTAGCACAGAGTATTTTGTACGTGACATTAGAGAAATCAGCTTACCTCTCAATACAGTGCCCTCTTGTAAATTAAGGATAATCAACTTTTAGTTCAAAAGTGGAAGGATAATAAGATAAGGTTTAAAATGGCTTTTAACTTTCTACCTATAGAGATTGAAGGTGACAAAAGAACATTACAAGGTCTGTGGGTATCCACGTTCCTGGAGGGAAGGCTACTCACATGTTCCCAGTGGGAGATTCTGTTCAATCAGGAGCCATCACTTGAGTGGTTTGGCAATAATAAGATTAGATTGACTGCAGATAAAAAAGGGAAAGGTTGATTAAATCATTCAGTCCCTTGACAATTTTGCAAACCAAGTGATTTTTTTTTTTTTTTACAACCATTAGTCCTAAAATGTGCAATGTACAGACTAGCCAAATAACCATGGTTCTGGATTCCACATATTGCAGGATTTTCTCTTTCCCTTTCCCAAAATTAATATCAAGTTTCTTTATCAAAATATGTACTATTATTATTAATGATTTCCACATGCTCTCTAACACTGTTTTTTAATTTTTATTATTTTTCCTTGAAAGTTATAGGTTCAGACGTACAGGGAGATAAAGGGAGAGCGATCTTCCATCTGCTGGTTCACTCCCCAGATGGCCACAATGTGTAGTGCCAGGCCAGCCCAAAGCCAGGAGCCATGAACTTCATCCAAGTTTCCCATGTAGGTAGCAGGAGCACAAACACTTGGGTCATCTTCTGCTGCTTTTCTCTGGCTATTAGCAGGGAGCTGGATAGGAAGTGGAGCAGCCAAGACATGAACTGGTACCCATATGAGATGCTGGCATTGTAGGCAGTGGCTTCACCTCCTATTCCACAACACCATGCCCCTAACACTGTTTCTATCTCTTTCACTTGAAAAAGTGCTAAAGGGGGCCAGTGCTGTGATGTAGTGGGCTGGGCCTCTGCCTGCGACAACAGTTTGTGTCCTAGCTGCTCCTCTTCTGATCCAGCTCTCTACTTATGGCTTTGGAAAGCAGTGGAAGATGGCCCAATTACTTGGAAGAAGCTCCTGGCTTCTGGTTTCAGATTGGTTCAGCTCTGGTTGCTGCAGTCATCTGGGGAGTGAACCAGAAGATGGAGGACCTTTCCTTCTGTCTCTCCCTCTGTCTGTAGCTCTACCTATCAAATACATAAAAATGAAAAAAATTTAAAAAAAATTTTAAAAAAGAAAAGGTGCTAAAATACACCTGGGTAACAGAAACACCCATGGTAGCCAACTGGTTCACTCACTTACCAGTTAAATTCCTAGGATAATATGATAGACATATGAATCATTGTATGCAGAATTTTAAGTCTATACCTCAGTCTTCACCTTATTACTTAGACATCTTAATACAGAAGATAAATAATAGAGAATACATGTTAGTATAGAAATGAAACATTTAAAATTTTAAAACTCCAAATCTAAACTTCCTGGGACAAGTTCAGAAAGAGAAAGGTGATTTCTCCTTTCAGATTCTCTAACATGTCCTTCACACTCATATTTAAAGCAGCTCCCAATAATCTTATTTAAATCACACAGTTTATCTAAATATGAAAAGCCTAGTAAAATATAAGCAATTATTGATTAAGAAAAGAAATATACTGTACTTGCCCAATACTTTACAGTTATTAAAGTGTTTAAACTCATTCTCTTTCTTTACAATATCTGCTTTTCTCAAAAGTTTTAAAAAAATTATGTAATTGTCTCACCTTTATCTGAGCAATCTCTCATTTATTGATTATGTGTTGCATTCATGTTTACTTGAAAATTTTAAAGGTGGGTGATATAAGAACACAGTCAAAGCTCAGGTTTTAGGCTTATGCATAAATATCACCATAGTGACAGGTGTTTCGCACAGTGGTGTTTGGCACAGAGACAGACTCAGATGCCCATATCCTGTATCAGAGTGCCTGGGTTCAAGTCTCTGCTGCACTTTTGATCCAGATTTCTGCTGATGTGCACCCTGGGAGGCAGCAGCTTATGGCTGAGTTGGTTAGGCTCCTGCCACCCACATGGGAGACTTAGATTGAGTTCTTGGTTCCTGGCTTTGACCTGGCCCAGTCTCAGCTCTTGTGGGCATTTGGGAAGCAAAATGGTGGAAGAGAGATTCTTCTCTCCATCTCTGTCTCTCCATCTCTATTGCTCTCCTTCAAATAAACAGAAAAGCAAGTAAGTAAATAAATAAATAAATAAATACTGCCAAGAGCAAGCACATATATACAAATGCATACCATATCCTCAATGAACCTTTGTCTTGGCTGGCATTCCCAGTCTGAAATCACTTTTCTTTCAAATCCCACTTCTCACCTCATGGTGCCTGTGACTTCTTTCAATATTTGTCCACTGCTGCAGACTTCTCTTTAAAAGCAAAAAGCCTAGGTAGTGGAAAATTGAGTTACAGGGAGAAAAAATACTTTGACAAAGAAACAAAGCTTGGTAAAAGTGAGGAATGATAATAATATCTTTTGTAAGTTCTATGGCCACTTCAAAAACTTGTGCATTCCTCTGTTATATGTGATTTAAATTTTATGTGAATTCTTCATTCTTTAAAATAACACTGTGTTTTCTTGTTCTGTATGTTATATAGATAATTCTACTTGAAAAAAATGGCTGATAATTTTTTTAATCAAGTAAACAGGGACAGTGGAATGGACCTTAAGGTAACTCAGAAAAGAAGCAAGGAGAAGGAGACCTGCAAGGTGCAGTGAAGATGCAAAACATGAGAACTGTTTAGACAGAGTGCTTGTATTCCCCCAAATCACGTAACTTTAGACATGGAGGGCAACATCAAGCTCATGTTTCATTTCTTTGCTATGCATCCTAGACAGCCATGTGCACAAGAAGAAGTCCCCAGTGAAAATTTCTTCACCACCCTACTTAGCATTTTTACATCCCCCACTCTCCTTTTTCCAGACACTGACTTTTAATCACTTACCCCAAAGTCAAGGCTTCTTCCTGCCTCAAGGCCCTCTCAGATGTTAAAATATTCACGTTCAGGCCGGCGTTCCGGCTCACTAGGCTAATCCTCCGCCTTGCGGCGCTGGCACACCGGGTTCTAGTCCCAGTCTGGGCGCCGGATTCTGTCCCGGTTGCCCCTCTTCCAGGCCAGCTCTCTGCTGTGGCCAGGGAGTGCAGTGGAGGATGGCCCAAGTCCTTGGGCCCTGCACCCCATGGGAGACCAGGATAAGTACCTGGCTCCTGCCATTGGATCAGTGCGGCGCGCTGGCCACAGCGCGCCGGCTGCGGCGGCCATTGGAGGGTGAACCAATGGCAAAGGAAGACCTTTCTCTCTGTTTCTCTCTCACTGTCCACTCTGCCTGTCAAAAAATAAAACAACAAAAAACAAAAAAAATTATTAAAAAATATTCACGTTCAATGGCACTGACTTAGATAGTGTTGGGTCTGCCATGAGAACAAATGAACAGTTGGTTGTACAGCCTGGGTGTCACACACAGACTCCTGTCTTTTCTGGGCCACTCAAGTGGGACACTGCGGTATGCTGTGAAGAGAAAGTAGGGTGAGGTGGTGACATCCTGTCGATGAGGGAATCTGGCAGCAGCCATGCAGTGACAGAATGAAGGGGAGTTCTCCAAGGAGGCAGGGGAGTGGTCATGGAAAGAGGAGTACAAAGAAAGAAGAACATTTTACAAAAACAAACACCACTACTAGATGGGTAGTGTGCGAAGGCAGTTGAGAAGTTTTTCTCCAAAATTCATCCACTCATCTATTCTTTCATTCATTCTACAAATAGCTACTAAGTACAAGGTGTTAATAATACAGAAATGAACAAAGCAGATGTTGTCCTTACACTAGCATAAAGCTCACAGTGAATAGGGAGTTGGGTGAGGAAACAAAAACAAATTAAAAATAAATGTATGAGATAACATTGTATAGTAATAAATATTCTGAAAAGAAACATGTTAAGCAGATAGAATGGTCAGATACTGTTACTTTTCATTGTATGGACATGAGAAAACTCTCTAGTTGGGGGATATTTAAAAGCAGAATAGAATGAAGGGGGCGTGAGGTATCAGCAAGTGTGATGGTGATCATGGTAATCATGATAAAAAGACTTAAAGAGGATGTTGTTATGTGTTAAGAGATGAGAGGATCACAAGGAGGAGATAATCAACAGGTCACATGCAACAAAAATGTCAAAATACAATCAAGGTGCCAGTGCTGTGACGGAGTAGGTAAAGCTGCCGCCTGCAGTGCCAGCATCCCATAAGCTGGTTCGAGTCCCAGCTGCTCCACTTCCGATCCAGCTCTCTGGGAGAAACAGACGATGGGAAAAGCAACAGACGATGACCCAAGTGCTTGGACCCCTGCACCCACGTAGGAGACCCAGAAGAAGCTCCTGGGTCCTGGCTTCAGATCAACATAGCTCTGGCTGTTGCAGCCATTTGGGGAGTGAACCAGAAGATGGTAGACCTCTCTCTCTCTCTCTCTCTGCCTCTGACTCTCTGTAACTCTGCCTTGCAAATAAATAAATAAATCTTTTAAAAAAATGCAACCAGCTCATTTGACAATGAAGGAGCTTGATGATGACCATAGAGAGGATTGCAGTGAATTGTATTTGGAAGGAAAATTAATTGCAGAATATCAAGGAGGAAAAGCCTAACAGGAAATAGGTATTGGAGAGATGTTTTGGAAAAAGCTACTGATGAAGGAAAGGGCATGTAGGAATATGGAACCATGATTTTTTGGCTTTATTTTCCCCACTAGACCAGGGTGTCTCAACCCTGAAACTATGACATTTTGGGCCATGTATTGGTTGTGGGGCTGGCAAGAGGGCTACCCAGTGCATCATAGACATTCAGCAGCAACTCCATCCTCCACCCAACAGGTACCAGCATCACCTGTCCACCCAGTGGGACAGCCAAGGTGACTCCAGACATTGCTAGATGTCCCCTCATGGCAAAACTTCCCCATGTTGAGAACGTCTACTCAATAGGTGAGTTGAGTATGTTTGAAACAAATCAAGAAAGAGCCCATGGACAGCAAGAGAGAAAGGACACTGAAGAGAGATTTTGTCAATGTGAGGATATATAGCAAGGAATTCAACATGTTTCCTTCCCTGCAAGTAAGAAAAAGAACTATCAAAACTGTTAGTACTGCTTTGTTTTATAAATTGAGGAACAAATATTGTTACTCTAAATTAAGAAAAAGCATTCAAGCAGAAAATTAAAAGAAAAATATACTTGTTGTAACAATTTTGATGCCAGCATACAAACTTTCAAGGAAATGCAGTATTATTAAAAAAAGAGAAACCATTAGTTATCCTTTCATATATTAGTAGAATTAAGAATTAGTAGAATATCCTTTCTATATTAGTAGAATTAAGAAAAATGAGCAAGTGGCTTGAGTTGGAGAGTAGATCATGTGATCCACAAATTGTCCGTTAGTCTGGGAAGTCCTTAACTGAGGATTGAAGACAGATGTTTCTATGTGACTCATGTATTTTTACCACTTTCTCATGGGCATGAACTGGGATTATTCCTCCCCGTCTACTGATGATGTCAGTGTTTTGTTTACACAGGATGAACCTGCCTAAGTCAAATTTGGCTGTAAGTCACGTGGCACCCAGTAAAAATACATACGCAGACTTCTCTCTAGATAAAATAGAGTTGTTGGCTCTCTGGGAAAAGACTTGGTTTCTGAATTGAATATATGAAGTTTAGAAGTTAGAGAATGATCTTTAAGAAGCATCTCAGAGTTGAAAGAGATCATCATGATTATTTTTTCTTTTTCTTTTTGTTTTGAAAATATTTATTTATGTGAACATCAGAGTGACAGAAAGGGAGAGACACAGAGAAGGGAGATCTTCAGTCCACTGGTTCACTCCCCAAATACGTGCAACATCCACAGGGCTGGGCCAGTCCAAAGTCAGGAGCCAGCAACTCCATCTAGATCTCCCACATGTATGGCAGGAACCCAAGCACTTGGGCCATCATTGACTGCCTCCCAGATACAACAGGAAGCTGGATCAGAAGTGGAGCAGCTGGGACTCAACCTGGCACCCAACTGGCTTAATCCACTGTATCCCAATGCCTGTCCCCATCACAATTACTTTTACAAATGTTTTATCATCTCTCAATTTGCTGTTTCAGGTCTCTACCATTAAAAATAAACAAAAGTTTTATTTTTCAGAAGATGAGCACAAATGTGAACATACTGTGATACATGGCAATGAAATCTTTTTGTTTCCTAAATTAAAGACAAATGTCAATCCACACCTAAAAATGCAACTAGCAGTTATTGGAAACTTCCTATATATGGTGGGTTATTATAGTTATTTTATACCTGTGGTGTTTGTATTATTCCCATTAGCAAGCAAGAAAACAGGCAATCACACAAGCACACTGTTGAGCCCCACAATGTGCAAGCAACAGTTTCATGTCCTGGGTTTGTCTTTGGACATGCTTCCCCTCACCTCCCTGAGGTTTTTCACCACTTTCTGATGAGATGTCAACTTCTTGTTATCAGTAGACACACAAGTTGAATTACTTTGGTCTGCTATCCTGGTGATTTATTCTAGTCAGTTAGTCTTTGTCTAGTTGTCCAGTAGTTAACAGACATGATTTTGGCTGCTCCTAGCAGATCCCTCAAGAAACAGACTATGGAAATGATCCATTGAGGATCAAACTAGATGTCACCAAGAAGTCATTTTTTTTCCTTGAATTAAGGACTTGAGTTTGTCACTGGCCCCACCTAAGGAGATAGTCATGATCTTTTAATTTAGTAAGTTTTTTAAGCAAACTTATTGTGTTGCAAATTTGTTGGAATTTATTACGTCCAAAAGGGGGAAAAACCTCAGACATTAATTAATTTCTTTTCAGTGACTGATTTCCATCACAAGGACCTTTCTTTGGATGAGTAGTCCTGGTCTAATCTATACATTTCCTTAACTTTCATTATAACTGTTACTATATGTTATAGTTGTATGTTTATTCTAATATCTATATATCTATCCAATCTGCTGCTCCAAATATTTTGTCTGCTTGCTTTAAGAGTTATTGTGCACTCTTCAATTGCTGAGAATATTCACCCCAGGAATAAATGAATGTCTCTGGTAAGCTTTACTTCTCCCAAACAGTAAAAAGGACACACCAAAGTGATTTTATATATATTATGTATATTATATATATACATATATATATGTATATGAATGGGTGTAAGCTTCAGGAAGTTCAATGTGAAAGCATCCTGGGAGTCTCTACTGCAGCATCTCACTCAACTGAACAAGGGATCTATCCACAGCGTGTCTGTAGGTAGCATGATTTCTCAGGCATAGTTGGGTGGGCTGCAGGAGAGGCAAACAAGTGGGCTCTGACTGGGAGGTGGTCAGGAAAGAGACCAGCCCCTTCCCCCACTCCCATGGCCATGCGCGCCACTCTTCCTCTATACAAAGACAATTTGCTTTTCATGTAGTAATGAAGAACAATGTTTAACAGACAAAGGAGCTTCTAGTTTATTATTGTGCTGTCTTTGACTAGAGCTAGATGCTGGGAAAAAATGGTAATTCACAGTGTGAATGCTTCTTTTCCAGCCGTACGGGTTATGGCTGAGCATGTACATTGTATATTGCAGATGGTACAATAGCGAACACTGTGAGAAGGAAAAAAGAATGAATTACAGCCTTTTTCCCCCTTGCTAACCAAGAAACCAGAAATTTCTTCATAATGATTTTCTATTTGTGTGTATGTGTGCGTATGGGTTACTCCTTAGCAATATGCATGGCTGGATTCTGACAAATGATTTTTAGGTTTACAGTTTTACAATTAATGTAAAAAAAATCTACCAAGTTGATCTTAGAAGAACACCTGTGTTCTACATGTTTTTTCTTCAGTAAACTGATACAGGGCACAGGTGATGCCTCATTAACTTATTTCATGCAAATAAAAACATATTGCATGATTTCTTCTCCTTAACTATATAATTACTGAAACAGGATGGTGCTGAATAAAGCCACAAATTTTGGGAGGGAAGAATTTAGCATCTTCTGTGAATTCCCCTATGCTGTAGGGATTTGTGGTCCATGTACATCTGATGTAAAGAAAAAGTGATGGGAATGTGTCTTTCATATGTTAAAACAAAAACCAAAAAAACCCTTATTGATCCCTAGTTAGTCTTTTTTCTATATCCCAGGCCACTCTCTGAAACACAAGTGAAAATTTCCCAAGGAGATGGAGGAATTGAAAGCCCCAAGGAGGGACCATCTCAAATCAGCAAGCTTAAGTGTTTTGAGTTAGGGTTCAGATATTCTTATCAATGATTTCCAGAAAATGACATTGATTTTCTTTGGAAACAATGATGGAAAAACAGCGAATGTGTACCGGAATTGCTTTGAGAGTTCCGAAATCACACTGGAAAGCGTCCGAGCATTCCAACACAACTGTAAACAATCCCATGCTGCATTTATGGGGGAGGGCATTTCTGTTTTTGAAAGTCATTTGTGATTTTATTTTCTATGTTTTTAATTTATTGAATTAAAGCCAGATTTATTCAATTAAGATAATACACTGCAAGGTTAACTGCCATTTGCTGTTCATTTAGGCAAGCTATTGTACAGTTATGTAAATTTCATGAACAGAGACACTACTTGAGTGTCTTAATTGCAAGCAAAAAGTGTCATTTAAATATGAATTAAGTGAATAGTTGCCTGTATTTCCTGTTTCTGTATTTTCTGTCTTTAAAATCTAAGGGCTATCCAGTGGTCCATACTGTGTCATGAGATTTTTCTTTTTCTTGCAAAAGAAAAACACTCCCACTACTAAAAATTATAAAAAGAAGTAGAGAAACATGTGAAAATGTCAGTTACCACACTGCTCGGTACTCACCAATATGGAAAACAGGGTGCCAATTTTTCACTGTTGGTCATTGGTTTTCATTTTCATGCTGTTGCTGAAATTTTAAAAAATTATTCAATGGGGCAGGCTTTTGGCACAGCGTTTAAGACACCACTTGAGACAGCTTCATCCCATATCAGTGTCTGGGTTCAAGTCTCGACTTTGCTCCTAATTAGCTTCCTGCTAATGTGAACCCTAGGAGGCAGTGGGTGATGGCTCAAGTACTTGGGTCCCTGCCACCCACCTGGAAGACCCGAGTTGAGTTGAGTTCATATATATGAGAGGGATTGGGTTGACTGAGAAAACCTAGGAACCCTACAGAAGTTTCGGGCCATGTTCAGCACATGTACATCCTATTTAAAAAATTATTTCAGCCTGTACTACATGTGTCATTTACTTAGAGTCACTCTCTATATAAATTCATATTTTTAAAACCTTCTTTTAAACTACCCATTTATAATGCATCCAGACATTCAGTTTTCATTCCCCAACGCTGGAATGTACATAATTTTATTTTAATCACTGTTTTATCTTTGTTGAAAGAAACATTCATTTTAAATTTAGAACTGTCACAACCATAGATGTGTTTAACAAAGTGACCCCTGACCTGATTCTCTGCTGATTTCTGTGAAACAATTCCCCATGCATCTCGGACTTACTGACAAATCTTGTTTTTGTTTGTCTCTGCGTTTTCGGATGGTTCTGGTGGATAAAAATGACCCAGAGACAAATCTGGCATTAATCATGACGAGAGGGAAGGCTTCACAATTCGTTAATGCAAACCACACCCCGGTTCTGTGGAGTCAGTTCCCAGCTCCTGTCCCCTGCCCGGGCCATGGCAGCCTGGGAACATCTTCCCAGCGCCCCCCAAGGCCGCTCCTGCTGGCTCCCCCACGAGTGAGAAGTTCACTATTCACTCACTGCTTGCGTCATCCTTCCCAACATGTTCCCACTGATACATTAAAGGAATTAATTGCTCATAATGATCTCACCATCTGTTAACAGAGGTTCATACCTACAGGCTGGTGGCATGCGGTGGTTCTATTCAGGGATCAATAGGCAGCGCCGGCCGCGCGCTTTCCCACATCGCCTGCCTTTGCGCGCTGAAAGGGGGAGGAGCGCTCAGGGCCGGCCATCTGCTTCTTGTCTTTCTGTGCGAGACCTTGATGCCGTCCAGCGCAGCTCTGATCTGACTCCAGTCCGACTGGAATGTGGCTGATCTGAGAGCCTCTCAAAGCTGTGAAAGTGAGTCAAAAGGAGATGCCCATTGTCCGGCATGGCTGAAAGAAAATGATCACTTTAAAATTCATAACTCCCAGGTGCCTGCCATCTATTCATGGGAAAAAACCCTCTGAACTTCTCTTCATTAAAGAGAGGAGAGTCCTGCTAAAAAGAGAGAAAAGGAAGTAGTTTGTGGGAATGTGGAGGGGATTTTCAGGCTAAACAAATGAGGAATTTGGAATTTTGCACTCGTGTTAAAAGGGCTGTGTGTGGAAGGGGAAGCCCTTATTTAAAAAAAAAAAAAAAAAGGAGAAGGCAGGCTTTTCTGGGGCACTGTAGCAAGTAATGAAGAAAGAGCATTTTAATTTTTCTCCAGGATATTTCAAAGATTACGCCGTCCTTTTACTTTTATTACCTGAAACTGAGAAAACTTTCCCATTCGATTCTGTACAAGAGTCTTAGTCAATTTCCATTCCAATTCCACAGGAGTGAATTTGTGTGGGAAATTAGGGAAGCATGAGAGTCTGGAAAATTACCGAGTCTGCTATGGGACACATGGGCACAGTGCAGCTCAGATCCATCCCATGTTTCTTAGAATACTCACCAGGGTCCTCTGCACCTACCATGCCCTCTGTCAGGAGGAGAATTTTCTCTGTATCTTGAGCGGCAAAGATGCCATCAGGAAATAGTTAAGAAATGAAAAAGAAAACTGCTGGTGCCTGGGCAGCTTACAGTTCAGCTGAGTCCCAGGCCTGGTGGATCTTTACTGTTGGCCGTTGTGGAAAATTGATGTTGCATTGGAGCCACGCAGGAATCCAGAGAATATTTATGGACTGATGGATGGAGAGCCAAACAGAAGTACGAATGGAGAGACCTGCAGTCTATCTCTTGAAAATCCTGTATCTTACAGATGGTGACACACAAGCCCTAAAAAGTTAAATAAGCTGCTCAAAGTCACGCAAGTGCATCATGGAGCTTCAGTTACTGGCAATGTTCTTTCCAATGTTTTATCCTGCATCATGAGTGGGGCGGGGTTTAAAATTAGTTTTGCTTACCTTTCCATAATTAAGATAGATCGATATTGCCAACTTAAGGAATCCAGTAGTTCCTTTTAAAACAAATTCTGAGCTCTGTGGAAGATTATAATTACCAGTATTCACTAACACATAGCACATAGCGAGCCCACTGGTGAAGTAAGGTGTTAAGTCCAGCTTTCTTGGACATCCATAACCAAATGAGGCAGGAAGCAAGAAAGGTAAGAATGGGTGATGATAAATGAAGTCACGACATCACTCCCTTGAAAAATGGGATCAACAGGGGCAGATGATGGAAAGGAGATAGAAGAATCCAGAAACAACCCCACATTGTGGAAATGAGAGATTTGCTTAATAGAATCACTGTTACTGGTCCTTATTGATAGATAAGAAGGTATCAGCTTAACCAAAATTTTTGCTATAAACGTATATTATAGTCTGTTGAGAAGCTCTTAGGGTATATACACAATCTTCCTCTGTGGAAGCCTATCTTTAACTTTCAGTGTGGTGGTTGGGAACATAAAATTCTTTGGATAGACTGGTGGCACATAGTAGAGTTAAGTGGAGAAAAGGCAAACCATGTCAGGTGTAGGTATGTTCACTAATCTAATTTGATTCTTAAATTATCAAATTGTTTGACTCTACAGTTTACGTGGTATCAAATCCTACAGTTTGTGCAGGTAAAATGTGGGTCAGAAAAAAGAAACCCAAAAGCTCAATAGTGCAAGTACACAGAGAATTGGGATGAAAATTGACAGCAGCCAAAAGGGAATAGCTAACATTTTCTCAAGTATTTCAGCCTCTGCCTGGAGCTTTAGGGAAAACCACATATTTATTCCAGAAAAAGTAAAGAATACAAAGGCATTTTCAAAAGTCTATGGAAATAGAATTAAAAGATGAGTTTAGTTTGGTGCAAAAATTGTTTTGAAATCCATGCACAGATTTTCATAATACACAATTTCATGAACTTCCTGAAGACCTATCATAGGCATGAATTTCAAAAACCTCTTACACCAAAAAATAAGCTTATTTTTTCTTTAAAATATTTATTTATTTATTTATTTATTTATTTGAAAGAGTTATAGAGAGAGAGGCACAAATATTGAGAGAGAGAAGGTGAGAGAGATCTCCCATCTGTCGGTTCATTCCCCATATGGCTTCAGTAGATGGGGCTGAGCCAAGTTGGAGCCTGGAACTCCATGTGCGTCTCCCACATGGGTTCTAGTGGCCCAAGTACTCATCGAGTCATCTTCTGGTGTTTCCCCAAGACATTAGCAGGGTGCTGGGTTGGAAGTGGAGCAGCCAGGGCTTGAACTGGTGCTTATATGGGATGCTGGTATTTCAGGCAGCAAGCCTATCTTTTAATTCCATTTTCAACAGACATTTTAAAGTACTCTTGTAAGTACTCTTGTAAGCCAGAAGAAGAAATGAATTAAAAGTTATCCCAGTATCCCTCCTAGAGATCATCTGTTAACTTTCTAGAGTATACATTAAACAACAACAAAAGCTGATCACAATATTCATATTGTATAGCATTTAAGATAAAAATATGATATTGTAAATATCTAAACATTTTTGACCTTAAAAAGGCAGTTTTCATGTATGTCAATTTAAAAGCTTTTTATTTGGTGATGTATTGTGAGTCTCTTTCCTTTTATTTATAGGTATCCAGATATATTTAAATGGGCTTACATATGGTTTAGGAACCATCTGAGTAAGTGTTGAAAGTTCTGAGTATCTCAGCTCTTTTCAAGATTGGATTTCAAGCTGCTGAGAGATTTAATAGAACAAAAGCAATTTATGTTGTAAGAATATAGTTCATTAGATATTTACTGAAAATTTAGTTATTTATTTCCCTTTGCAGTGAAATGATGTTCTTTTCCTACTGATCCATACACCACCCACATAACTGAAAGTTTATCATAAGCTGTATTCTCTGTTATTAGTTGAGGAGGTGTAGATGTAATGAATGAGAGGGTGCCTAGCTCAAACAGCCACAATGACCACAAGCAACACACTTCAAAACCCTAACAAAACCCCAAATCAACAAACAAAAAACACCAAAGAGGCATAGTGGAATTCTAAGGCAGCTCATTTTTAGGGGATTCAGGTGAAAAATTCAGCTGATAGGATGATAGGGAAGAGTCTGATTTGTAGGCTCTGAAGTTTTGACTTTAAGGCTCAACCCTATAGGGGGTTCTGACACCCAGAGAAATATATAATTTGAATATGTTTACATCAACTTTCTGATTTCTCTTCTTTTGTCAAGTACTATCTGAAACCTGACAGCTTTCTCATCTAATGCTGTCCTTGTTTGCTGAAGGGTTTTTTTTTTTTTCCTTCACATAGACTGTTACTGGGTCAGACATACCTATTTTTTTCTATAGGTACATGCATTTTTTGTTTGTTTGTTTCTTCTAAGGACTCATAGAAAATTTCTGCCTCTTTTACTTATTCTGTACTTGAAAATAGACCTTCCTTTTAAACTTGCCATTGTAATCATTTTACATTTGTTCAATCATTGGACTCAATTTTGTTCCCAATTCTTGTGTTCAGAGTTAATCAATTGGGAAGATTTTAAAAGCACACAGCAAAAGCAAATACACTTTAATGCTACCCTACCCCCATCCAATTCTCACAGGCACTGGGTTTGTAGGGATAGCTGATCTCTGGGTTTTATTATTTTCCCTCTCTCTTTTCTTTCTTTCTTTCTCTTAAAAAACTGTGCATGGAAAGTAAAAGTTTATTGGGGGCAAGGGTTCAATGACTATTTTTCCCTCGAACAAATTAATCTTGTATAACCTGCATTATAAAGGCTATTTTTAAAAAGAGGAGGAAATAATCATTGAGGCCTTATTTGGAACTCTTGTGGGTTTGAGCTCACATTTGCACCAGCCAGAGATTTTCAATTAGCAGTGCCTTAGAAAACAGGGACCCCTGCCATTGTCAGTGTCCTGTGGAAGAAGAAGAGCAAATAGATTGGAAATGGTCTTATGGCTCAAGCTCCTGGGAAAATGTAACAGGTGTTACAGCTCAGCTGGGTGTGAGATTTATGAAAAAAGCCCACTCAGACTTTGCCCATAGAATTCTTGCTTTCTAGCTAGGGCTTCAAGTAGGAAGAAACTAATGACTTCATTACCATCTCAATTCTGGGAAATGCCTGGTCCAGACCTGACTCATTAAAGGAAAGGTATAGCACTCTGGGTGACCTTACCAGATCAAAATGTTATTTAGAGCAATTCCATTAGTCAGGGCCATAAACCTGCAAGAACACACCCTTTAGGAATAACACTTTGGCCATAAAATGAGGGGAGGAAAAAAAAAAACAAAAAACAAAAACAAAATAAGCCCATACAGATAAAGAGGGAGAGAAAAGGGGAAAAACATATTCTATAATCATCCTGCTGCACCATTTCCTCCACTGTCTTTGAAAAGCCTCTACCTTCAGCCCTTCTTCCCTCACTCCCTGTTGTGACACATTAAATGGCTCTTGTGGCTGCCCCATTTCCAGTGCATTATAATTGGAGGATGAGGTAGAAGCCAGCAATGATGCCAAATTTCCAAGCACTGGAAGATAAAATAAAATCTCTTCAGTACTAACAGTACTTAATGGTACTAACAGTAGTAGTACTTAACTAGTATCAATTAACAGTAAATTTTTATTAGGTAATTGCTCCTTTTATTAATCTGAAATGAGAGAAGCATAGAACCATATCCCTGGACACAATCTTTCATAACCATTGTATTTCGTTTTATTTCATATTGCTACTTCACTGAAGGAGAACTTGGCCAGTGAAATGCAATTTCAGTAACCTTCTCACAGTCTATTTGTCTCTAAATGCCAGCCCCTTGGTGGGGGGTCCCCCTGCCCCTTATGACTCATTTTTATTATGCTCCCACATGCTCCGCTTTCCAGAACACCTTTCAGAAAAAAATTCACAGTCAAAAGACAAATTGTTTGTAAGGCCAAAGTGTTAAGGCTTGTGACCTTGCTTTAAAAAACTTAGCTGCTTCCTATTACACCTCCACTCCTGAGTAAATAAATTTCATATTTAAATCCCCAGACACAATTCTTCTTATCCTTAATAAAGTGCATAATGCTGCCTCTCTAGTGGACCTGAGATTCTCTCAGTACCGGGGAACATGCTGAGCCTTGAATGAGACGGAGTCACCCTGA